TAATTGTTTAATTTTTATTATTTTTATTATTTGATTAAAACTTTTTATTAAAATTCTTAACATGATAGCCGCATTGGTTTTAAAATTTTTATTCTTAACTTTGCCCATAAACTCGAAAAACGTTATTGAGTAAGACTGGATTCTGTGCCAAACTTTCCTTCAGTTAATATATCTATGAACTGTGTAAAAACTACAAATCCTGTGAATGTAATGTAAAACGAATGTAAAATCCTGTGAATATTGGATATATACTGGAGGTTTTTATATCACGTTACCTTGACGAAAATTTACCTGCAAAATTTATTGCTTGAGATAAAAAACAAATTTTTTCGTGCGTCCATCATACATATCTCGCAGGATTATTCATGATGCTAACCCTGTGGAATTTTTTCCTATCTGTTATCGCTTGCATCACAACGGTTATCTCACTACGGTGACCCTGGAAGCGTTATAGGATTTTATCCTCGAGAAAAGAAACTGTGTCTTCCAGGAAAAATTATTACAGAACAGTCTGCAATTATTTTTCCTACGAGATCTGGCAGAATTTTATTGGTTGAAAGAAAAAGGACTTTGCCCCCATGTCTATCGTGCGATATCCTGCAATCTTTTCTCATCAATGTCTGCTCAGGGTAATCGTGGAGGAACTTGTCTGTATTTTTATTTTTGGAAAGTTAAGAACTTTTGCATCGGTAAAGTTATAAAAGCTTTTCTCGTGTCCAATAAACTTCTAGAAAACGTATACCTTAATATTTTAACTATAACTTCTCAATGTTTTTACAGAAACTTTTAAATTATGCACCACTCAATATAGTGTTCAAAGCTGAAGAAATTCGAATAGTTTGATATCTCTGCTTTTGCTATACATCTTTTCTTTTTTCCAGTAGTGGAATCATTCTAATGACTTTAATTTCTTATTGATGAAAGAAAATAGAATATTCCTGACATAAAAAAGATGTTTTCAGCCACCTATTAATAGTTTGGTTTTGTATACATGAAAATGCGTGTTAAAGTCAAAATATTAAGGTATACATTAAAATATAAAATACCTAACTTTTCAAAAATAAAAAATTCATATAAGTTCCTCCACGATCACTCTGAACAGACATTGGTAAGAAAAGATTGCAGGATAGACAGACATAGGAGACAAAATTCTTTTCTTTCAGCCAACAAAATTCTGTCAGATCTCGTAGGAAAAAACTTGCCGATTAAATAAGTCAAAAAGTCTCGCGATGTTTCTTACCTTTACACAGAATCTATTTCCACCCTATTCCTCCGCGATAACTGTAGGATACCCTCGAAGATGGCAAGGAAAAGAATCCTGCGTAAAGGTAAGAAACGTCCCCGGATTTTTTGGCACAGACAACCCATGAGTTTGCGCCAGGCGGTCATTAGGCGAAAATCCACTTCTCTCAGATTCAAATAGCGAGAAATATGCATCAATATATGGACTATTTAACGGCATAAAAATTCTTGTTTCATATGCTCAGAAATCCGGGAAAATTCATAGTAAAACACTAACTGCATAATACATTGTGAAAGGTAACAAACTTCTGCTATGAAATTCGATTAACTTCAACCCCAAAATGACATATTATCAACTCAGACTTTCTCAGTTATTAACTAGTAAAGGAAATTTCCTTTTGAACCTAAACGTGCAAAAAAAAGTAGTCTCCAAACTAACAAAGTTTCTCGAAAACGTGTCTTCGATGCAGAGAGTTTCCACACTTTCCCAAAGCATCAATCTCACTCAAACTTTGCACAAATATTCTTCTGTCTATACTGCCTCTATGGGTTTAGCGGCAAATGGCGTCGTCTCTCGCTGTAGATTTTTCAAAAACCCAGGGTTTTCAAGCAAAGTCTATTTTTATGCAAAATTCTGCAGGAATTTTAAATTGTTTTTAAGTGGGTTTTGACAGAAAGTTCTAGAGAAATACCAAACGCCACAAAAGCGAACATAATCTCTAAAAGAAGATCATCTCATTGTATAACAACATTTTTGGGGTTATTATTGAATTTCTTATAACGTTTCATCAGCACATTTGTCAAGGAATATTTGAAATCTCTTCTTTGATCAGTCAAGTTTGCTCAACACACCATTATTATTGAAAAACTATTCTTTAAAAAATATAGTGGAATAATACGGATTAGCAGCACTTTTCTCTGCTAAAGTTTTCAGAAACGTTTTTACCGTCCTAGAGGCCTTGGATACGGTCAAACGGAATATGGATTCTGATCGTAGACAATCTGGGCTATTCAGTCATATAGTAATCTTAATATGGACTTTTTACAAAAAATTTGCATTTTTGACAAGAGCCCCTGTTCTTGTAACTTGATACAAAAGCCATAATAAAAGTGCTTTTTTTCTATAATACTATTATCTTCTTGTTAATTTTTAGACTTTGTATCAAAATAATAGCACCTGGCAGTTTTCATTTGCGATAAGCATCTAAGGTTGATATTTATTCTGTTTCATTCGATACTCTTTCTGCACTCTTTTCTCCCATTCTTCAAGGAATAATGTTAGTTCTTGTGGCGTTTCTGTTATTCTCTACCGCTCATGCTAAAAGCAATGAAACTGTTGAGCACCATATTATGGACCTTGCTCTTCGCCAGGTAGCAGATTTCTTGAGCGGTCACGAGATTGAACATGCCACCGTGACGCATATCGCCAACAAACCGTTGGAAAACAACTGGATTAATTACCAAATGGACTTGACGGGCATTATCTCAAACAAGTCTGCTTCGTGCAAGATAGTCATGGATCACAATTCAATCGATGCTCGTAGCTCATTTGTCAACTGCGACCTAAACGTCAATTTGAATATGTACGAAGACAAACCGGAAATGATTCAAAACAAAAGTATTCAAACGATTGGAAAACAATTGGCAAATAGCGGATCACAGAAACTAACAAATGCCAGAGTTACTCGTGTACAAGAGAAAATAATCCTCAACTGGGAAAAAGAAATGACGACATCGCCATTTACCGATCTCAAGTTGTTTTGGTCTGGAAAACTATGGGAGCCATTTGGAAGCATCGGGTAAAATTTACAAGTAAGTATAAATACAAATTAGCTAATGCACATTTTTGTTTGTAGGAAAATTCTTGACACTATTCTCTGCGAAGCCACAATTATAATTAACACTCAAAATGTGTCGGACTATATGGTATTGAGTAAAAGTTGTTGGACAAGTGATGAACCAGCCTACATAGACCATCCAGAATTGCTAAAAAATCTAAAAATTCAACAGCTGATCAAAGGTGTAGTTGTCGAACGTCTGGCAACTATCCATGAGTTGGAGTTGAAGGATGTGGAAGTGAAAAATGTTCGAACAATTGACAATTCTCAGCGAAAAATTATCGATTTTGTTGGACGACCAGCCTTTTTCACGAACAGTATCACTTACTGTCAAGTTAAAATCAATACGCACGAGCAAATCGATGAATCAACGTGTGTCACTATACCTCAAGATGAATGATATTCTTTTACATGTAAAATCTGATAGAAAAGTTAATAAATAATCCCGTTGATTAAGACAATAATGTATAATATAAAACGCGTTTATAGCATATCTATGTTATACTTTGACCACTGATGTAGTAATACAAAATTATTTTTACATCGAAAAGTGTTAAATTACATTGTACTTCATCAGCTTGATAGTACAGCACCATCGGTATGAAGCACAATTCCAGTAGAAGATAAAATTCTGACCAGCAATAGTGCTTGATCAATCATCTGTTGTTTCCTGTTGAATTGATTATCCAAGATTGCCGTTTAGCTATTGCCTTTGTAAATTGTACTCTTATAAAAATAGGGGTATTTTAAAAAATCTTAAGAAACGGCTTACGAGGGAAGGACCCTAAGTTGCAAATCATTTTTTCGAGGAAACCAGGTGAACTATATGTAATTAATGATGCCCATTCCGAATATGAACATCGGAGTTACCCATAGACTCTTGTTGACCTATTTGCTGAAAACTAGATCTTCACAAAATCTGGGATCAAATGTAGAAAAGTTTTTCTGAATCAACCATTTTGTAAAGACTACAAAACTGTCTATGTTCCGTAAGTTTCGGTTTTTCAAAATATCACTGAATCGTGCTATGATTTTTGCAAAGTGTGCTACTGCAACATTTTTCTATCCAAACAAGCGTAACCACTCTTTTGGGAAATTTTCCTACGTTGTTGACTTTTGTTTTCAAAAATTAAAACTTATGGAACATAAACAGTTTTGTATCGTTTATAAAATGGCTGATTCAGGCAAATTTTGTACATTTGATCCTAGGTTTTGTAAAGATCTAGTTTTCAGAAAATGGGTCAACAAAAGTCTAAAGGCAACTCCGATGTTCATATTCGGAATGAGCGTCATCAGTTACATATGGTTCACCTGGTTTCACCGAAAAACCGATTTGCAATTTGGGTTCCTTCCCTTGTTAACAGAAGAAAAAAAGTTTTCAAAATGTCCAAAAATTCATAAGGGCTTTGCAGAAGATCTAAAATACGGGTCTGCTAAATAAAAAAAAGTTCAAACCGGCTGGAAGTATTGAATACTTCTGATATGTTTATAAACTACTAGAAACATTTCGTGCTCATTTGCGAAATACTATAATTCGCACAATGCTCCTCCCGCCTTCCACATGTTTCCCTTAATCTATGGTAATTCTTCTGTTAGATGAAAAAACCTTTGTCTGCTCTGAAAACCATCGTTTGAATCCCATAGTGGAGATGATACTTAAGACTATCTATCCATGAGAAAAAATTAATATGTAAAGTGTACGGCAAAAGTAAAAACCATCTTCTTTTCCAGTTTTTCCTCTTCAATGGAAAACATTTAAAGAGATTCAAAGTGTGGTATAACAAGCCTGCATCCAAGGCTGAAAGATCCATATAATGGAAGCTTTGTTGAACAAGAATTGGACCTTTATAAATATTCATTGTATTCATACATTCTGTTATGCTTGTCTTTGTCTTATGTACAAATAGAATCGAATCGCTCTTTTTCTTTATTCACATCATTAAAAATAACTACGTCTGTTATCATTATTATTATGAATTCAATTATTTTTAATACTGTTTATGTTTAAGAATTATTGACCCCCACCTCCGGAATAGAAGGCCATGGCCTTCTATATGGTTTCGTCAGATGTACAGAATTCAAACTTCGAGTAAAGTTATTTACATGTACGCACCATTCCACAGAGAATTTGACGCTGATCTGGAATGTGAGTGACTCGATTTTTTGATATGATATTTTTATTGCATAAAAGTTTAGTTCTGATTGAGAAAATTGATAATTACTGATAGAATTACGACTTTTTCGCCTCATATTTAGAAAAAACGATTTTTCTCAGCGAAGAAAAAAATTTCAAAAAACTACGTGTATTCTTTTGAAGCGGAGCAGACAGCGGATCCAGCCATGTAAAAATATTGGCTCTGGGATCTCTACACCGAACGAAATAAGATTTGCAAAAACCAATTCGGATTTAGAGCCCTGTCTGTTTCGGACGCTGTGAAAAAACCATTTATCGCTCCGAAACCTTGAAACTTACTTTTCCAGATTCAGTTATTGTTATAAATTTCACTGGAAGTTTGAATTCTGTACATCTGACGAAACCATAATAGAAGGCCATGGCCTTCTATTTCAGAGATGGGGGTCAATAATTCTTAAACATAAACAGTATTAAAAATAATTGAATTCATAATAATAATGATAACAGACGTAGTTATTTTTAATGATGTGAATAATGAAAAAGAGCGATTCGATTCTATTTGTACATAAGACAAAGACAAACATAACAGAATGTATGAATACAATGAATATTTGTGTTATGTTATAGAAACATAGAGGATTGAAATCTTCTAACAATAATATGATGTTAAAAGCGAAGAGAAGGGACAGTATCTCTTATATATTCGGCTTTATTTTTTATTTTTCTGTCTCCTATCACTTGCCCCTGTCCATCCTAACCCTAGTGTAAGAGAGACGAATGTGTACGAGAATATGAGCAGTAATTGAAAAAGAGAGTACTAATTGCTGCCGACACTAATAAATAGTTGTAATATATTTCTCCAATATTTCTCTCTCTCTATCTATCTAAACGATGTCTTCTGTTATTATAATTCGTTTCAATAATAGTAATTATAAGGTTATCTAGTGAATTATTTGATAAATTAAAATGTTTAACACAATTTGTATCGTCATAGTATTCATCAAGAATGTTTGTTATATGATGATACGGAGAGTTGTACCAGTTGATTCAACAGCTTGAACATGTAATTAAATAACAAAAATTGGTTGTTGTATGATCAACTGCGAATGGGATTATAAAATATTTGGTTTGTCGACTGATCACCAGAGATCTAATAATCATTAGTGGTATAGTTCCATCTCTCACTTTCTTTTCTTCTATGTGGCGTAAGACATGGCACTGTAATATGTAGATCAGTCGGTTCTTTTTTCGTTTGGTGTGTGCTGTATTTTTTTGTGGTTGACTCAGTTAAATAACAAACGCTCTCTAAGTTCAACGGAAGACAAGGTTAATTTTACGCGCGAAGTCTCTTATATGTGACGTACAACATATTTGTGGCGTTAAAAAAGTGCCTCCTCCGCCCTAAACAAATATGTGGCTTACAATAAGGCGTTTTAATGCGCCTTATATGTCTTACAAGCATCTTACACCGTAAGACACATTAAAAGAAAAAAGGAGAAAGATATCGGTTGAGGAGAGATCTGAACTCGCAACTTTACGTTTGAAAGACTTATGCGCCCTGCTTCCCAGGGCCATAAATAAGAAGTCAGCTTTTGGTGTAAGAAAAAAACTTTCTCTGTGCGATCAAAACTGACGAAAAAAGTTTTAATTTCCGCTATGAGGAAAGGACAAATTTTTATTTTTGAGGGGGGCATACTCCCCTCCAGCAATTTACGGCCCTGCTCTTTCCTTCTTCGAACTTTTCAGAGTTTCTGATTTTACAAAAATAATTTTTTTTGTCAAAACAAGTGGATAAGTGACTCTGACGAGAGAAGAATCTAAGATTCGGCGAAAAAATTCGGTGTTGCGTTCTTCCTACTGCCTTTTTTTCAGAAGTGGAGTTTTCAGAGGACAGACTAACTTTTGCCGGTGGAAAATCAATAAATTTCGACTTTAACGAATTTCGGGGAAGGAACAGGTTCATTAACAGAGCCCTGTCGTTCCTAAATGCTCTTAAAATAAAAACCGCTGCCATGTGGTGTAACATCCTTCGAAGCAAAAAATAAAGTTACTTTTATGTTTTTGTGTTTTACAACGTTCTAAAAAAAGATATCGATGACTGCGTACAGTGACGACTAATAGCCAATCATTAATTGAAAGATCGAAATTATTAATGAAAATTAGAATTGTGAATAATCCAGACGTTTAAAAGGCAAACCGATTCGAGAAGAACACAGGAAAGTAAAGGCGTTTCTCTTTTGACTGAATTAAAGATAAAAAAATACACCAAACACTAAATGGAAAAAATATCAGACTGACCTACATATTACAATGCCATATCTTACGCCAAATAGAAGAGAGAGAGATGGAACTATGCCACAAATGATTATTAGATTACTGATGATTAGTTTCTTACAATACCTATTCAAAATAAAGATAGTAAACGGATCTCGGAAGTGTGACGAAAAATAACGGAGAAATGAGTAGTGCGTCAAATATTAATATCGCAGTTTTTTAAAAAGTTGAAAGATAACGAAAGAACAACCGAGTATTAAAAGTATCACAGAAGCTAAAAAGAGCTTATTAGTCGTTAAAGCAATTAAGAAGAGACTATCTCTACCATACCACGTCGCACCGCCTACATAACCTACTAAGCGACCCCAAAGTAAATCATTTGGAATAAAATAAAAATCTTCTTTTAATGGATATTGTTGATAAATGCCATACAGAAATGTAGGACCCGCACTAAGGATAATTGTCAGATGGTATAAGTAGAACCAGCGGTTTGCGATCCTGAGCTGAGTAACAGCCAACTTGAAAAATGGATGATGTCGTTTCGCTACAATGATGTCGGTGTTTGCGGATATACCTTCTCCGCCCATGTGAAATATAATGTCAGGTTCGTCGGTTGTATTTGGCAACATGGCAGTTACAATATCTCCAACTTGACAAGACACATCAAGATCTATGTATATACCGCCATAATGAAACAGCAGCAGATACTTCATGGCATCTACTCTCTGCATGTCATAACGATAATTGTTGTAGAGTGGAAGAAACCAAGAATATTCAGTCTCTAACCAGATCAGTATCTTGTTGTGAGTCCATAACGTGTATTTGTAATCCAAATTTAGCTTGATGCATGAGTTACTAGCTTTCTGGAATCTATCAAACATTTTATCATTTGTTATGGATGATATCCAAATTTGGTGGATATGTCTGGGGATTTGTGTCTGATGATCCATATGGCGCCGCCACACACTCTTATCCAACTTGATCATATTACT